CTACTTTTTTAAAAAAAATGGCATCCTATTCTTTTATTAATGTAAAATCTCTCATTTTTATGAGGGTTTTTTTTTTTTTAAGCTTTCTTCCTTTCTGTACAATCTGTTTTCTCAGATTCCTCCTTTCTGTTTTTTTCCCCCTATTTATTTCGGTCTTTCCTTTAATGGTAGAAACTTTAAGTGGTGGGGATTCCTGCTTCTCCACACATATTTCAGAGTGAGTCAGCCATTGGACGCCGTGCATGCTCTAAAGCTTGCCAACCAGGAGGCTTCACTGTGGCCAGCTCGGCAGGGGTCTGGCCTTCTGTTGGGTTGCCTTAAGTCTCACTACCTGAGGGTATTGTCTCTCATGTGGTCAGTTTCTCCAGAGAGGACTGCTCCAATCTCCTGGCTGGGTATAAGCCTGGCGACTGACATCGTGGGAACCAAGCTGGGGAAGTGGGGTGGGAGCCGCACCGCTTGGTACAGAGCCACTCACTTCATCTCCCTGTTTTTAATATAGCAAATCGAGCCTTGATGGTGACCCAAAGTCTGACTGGTTTCCCTTCGCCAGAGAACAATGCTCTGTTCTTCTACCCCAGTAAAGGAAGCAGAGTAGCCTGGCTACCTGGGCTTGGGGGGGGGCATCTGTCAGTACCACTCCTTATTTAGACTTTCAAGCCATCTTCCATTTCATAATACAGCTCTGTAGACAACCCAACTTTCAGCTTCGCCTGATCTCCACTTCCTGAGTCTCAGAACTCTGTGGCATGAGTCAACTTTCTCCACCCTCCATCCTGTTAAAACCATCACTAATTTATCTACTTTCTATCTTTCAAAATTCCGTTGGATGTCCGTCATCTCTATCATTTTCTCTCCTGTTATCTTTGCCACTGTGGGTGTCACCTTTTTGCCCTATCATTTTATCGTGGTTTTAGTAGTAGGTGGGGCTATACATTCATAAGATCAATTTGCCATATTTAAGAAGACACTTTTTTGGTTTTTGTACATTTGCTAAATTACAGTACTGGCCATCAGCATGTTAACTTTTATCACTCCACTCATCATTACCATGTTCTCCACAAGAATTTGGGGAGCCGGAAGCCAAGCATGACCCCCACAGTTCAATCATCAGAATTTCAAACATCAGTGTCTATCAGAAAATTTTAATTTCATAAAACCTGAAAAATGTCTGGCTAACAAAAATTTTTTTAAAAGCAATGCAATGTAGTGCATGTTTCAAGATAACTAGAAAATTTTGAATGTTGTCACCACAAAGAAATGATAAATGTTTGAAGTGATGGATATGGGAATTACCCAATTTAATTATTTTAATACGTATACATACAATGTAACATCACATAGTGCCCGATAAATATGTACAATTATTATGTGTCAATTTTAAATGCTAATTTTAATATTTTAAAAAAGCTCAACACTTAAAACTGTATGTTAACACCTATTTCATGGGCTTAAATAGTCTGTAAAATAAAGTAAGTACATAAACTATTTCATAGGATTTTAAAAATAGATGCTACTTACATTTTATACCTTGAAGCAACTTGGCTACAATGGCCTAAATGTAATGGAAGGGACCGGGGTCCAGAGAGAATATTCAAAGACAATCTAAAGGCATGGAGTCAAAACTACTTTTTTTTTTAAGAGACAGGCTCACTCTGCCACCCAGGCTGGAGTGCAGTGGCATGATCATAGCTCAGTGTGACTTCAAACTCTTGGGCTCAAGTGATGTTTCCGCCTCAACCTCCCAAGTAGCTAGGACTACAGGCCTGCATCACCACGTTTGGCTAACTTTAAAAAAAAAAAAATTGTAGAGACAGGGTCTGGCTACATTGCTCAAGCTGGTCTTGAACTCTTGGCCTCAAGCAATTTTCCCACCTTGGCCTCCCAAGCATGAGCCACTGCACCCGGCCTGGAGTAACGATACTTCTAATGGTGAATTTATGGTGTTTACTACAGGCAACTGGAGTCTGATATACTTAATAAGAACAAACAAGGGGAGTGGGAGTTGAAAATTTCTTCTGTATGCATTTTTTAGGGTCGTCCTCTTTTGCTTTGTTGGGTCGTGCACTGTATAACAGTGAGAAGTGCTGTCTTTGCTACACACATGAAGGCGAAATTACAAGTGTGTGGTCTGCAGGTCATGCAATCCTCCCAGCAAAACAAAATTTTTTAAAACTCTAAAAATTCTAAGCATGCACCAAACACTATACACAGAAAAAAAGGGCTCCTTTCTCAGTCTATGGTAGTGGGCTAGTGAGCCACAAATAAGCAAGCAAATCTGTCAACACTGTTTTGGACACACCATTGCAACTCCACCTGACCTACCACCTTAGAATTGCTTCTTGGTGGACCAATGACACCAGCCCTATGATGGCACAAGCATCTATTTAAGTCAACTCTGTGATGACGTGGAACCCATTTGTACCAAACACCTACCTAGACAAAGCCCCTCTTCCTTACCAGTCCTGCCTAGCTTCCTCCTGAAACTTCCATGAAGAGTCACCCTCTCACACCCACCCCACCACCCTGGCCAGGAGGACAGGCATTCCACAGCTTATTAACTTCACTTCAATTTTAGGTCTTACCTGCTGCTCATTGAGCTTTCTCTGTATTTCTTCTGAGTTACAGGAATCGTAGACTATTGGCTTGGCGAGCTCTGACTCGATGTGAGCGAGCCAAGTCCTCAGGCTGCTCATGTTCTTATCGAGCTGCTGCACGGCCACCAGGGTCTCCTTCAGCTTCTTCACCCTATGGACAGAGACGATGAACGTAACAGCTCCAGTGAGAGCCCCTTTCACGTTTCCCTCAGGTGCAGAAGTGAGCACTGGGTCTAAAGCCAAATTGCCCTGGTCCATCCTGGCTCACTCACATGCTGGCTGTGAGACTTTGTGCAGGTTGCACAACCTCCCTGGTTCTCTATTTACTCACCTATAAAATGGGGATTTTATAGAGTACAAGAGTACTCGTGAGATTTATATAACTTGAATAATGTGGGATGTCCAGTGCATGGGAAATACTCAATAAATATTAGTGAATATTACCTGCCACACAACTCTTAATATAATACTATAACAGTGACAGAAGTCTCATGGTTGCCACA